TGAGTCATATTTTATATCTTATTTTTATCTATTTATTTATCTATTTATTTATCTCTCTCACTTCATTTATCAACCAAATCTCTCTACGCCGTTCTGAATGTTGTTTTGTTATTTTAAAAGGCATCGTTACTGCGTTAATTAATGCATCTTACTGGATAAAGGTCTACAACATGTTTTGACAGGTGAGCTGATGTTGATAAACAAATGACACGTGATATGTGACGTCACGTGCATGATGGCGTCTCCGAACATGTAATCATTGAACGTCTATTGTAGTATAAGTGTAGCCTTTTATATTAAGTCATCACGACTATAGTAGATTCCGTAGCCTCGAGACTATTAGTAAAATAGCAAGTAGCCCAAGAGTCATAAGCTCCTAGACTATGCAATAAGAACCAGATAGTTCAGGGCGTGTAGTCCTTTGGTCGAGTCAGGTGTTGTAGCCCCGTGACTACTAGACAATCGATAGGTGATCTAGTCAGTGTAGCCCCGAGACTACTAGAAATTCTGTAAATAATCCAGCCTCTGTATCCCTGAGGTAGGAGGCAGGTAGTCTAGGCCTCTGCAGTGCGGAGGTAGAATGAATCAGTCTAACGCGTCACGTATTGTTATGACGCTTCGAGCTGGCTATTGTTGGTCCATAGTGGTTCATGGTGGTTCATAGTGGTTCATGGTGGTTCATGATGGTTCATGATGGTTCATAGTGGTTCATGGTGGTTCATGGTGGTTCATAGTGTGTTCATGGTGGTTCATAGTGGTTCATAGTGTGTTCATAGTGTGTTCATGGTGGTTCATGGCGGTTCATGGTGGTTCATAGTGGTTCATAGTGGTTCATGGTGGTTTATGGTGGTTCATAGTGGTTTATAGTGGTTCATAGTGGCTACACCATCCCACAACCACAACATATACAAACACACACACTAAACATTTACCATAGTGACCCCGGCAAAAGAAAACGGAAACATTACAGATCAACCCCAATCATGACTTTCTCCCTCCCCCCTTCCGACATTAATAAACCCGAGGACCGAGTTTTTCATCGCACGACGGTCGTTACACAAACCAATATTAATACGAAGGGGGAGGTGGTCGAATAAGAGGGAGGGGGAAAGGGGAGCAGGGGGAGGGGATGGATGGATGGGGGTGGGGTGGATAGGGGAGTGGATGGGTGGGGGGTGGATAGGAGTGGATGGATGGGGAGGATGGTTCCATAATAGTAGTGGTTGAATAGGGACACGACGTTTACTATTATCGTTATCACTAGTAAGGGTAGGTGACGTGTGTGACCTTGTTATTGTTTTTTTGTGTTAGGTGTGATGTAAAGTGGGCAGGACGGGGTTATAGAGTGATTGATGGTGTATACATGATTTCAGGATAGGATTGTTAAGGTGGTGTGTGTGTGTGTGTGTGTGTGTGTGTGTGTGTGTGTGTGTGTGTGTGTGTGTGTGTGTGTGTGTGTGTGTGTGTGTGTGTGTGTGTGTGTGTGTGCAAGTTTTTTTCTGTCTTTTGCATCGTCATTCTTCTTTACTTCCTTTCCTTCCTCTCTATTCATCTCTCTTCCCCACAAACAAACAAAACAAAACCAATCTAAGCAGAACCAGAGGAAAGAAATGAAAGAAATTAACTGTGGGATTGCCTGCTGCTCATCCTCTGAGATCTTTTTCTGGGGGAGTAAGGGATCATTTGGCCAAAATTAACCCAGCGTGAAGGCGGTGTGTTCGTGTATATAATTAGCAAACTAGATTATACGTAGGACCTCTCTTTTTCTCTTTCTTTTTCTGCCTTTTTGTCTATCTGGTTCTCTCTCTTTTTCTCTTTCTTTTCTCTCTTTCTGAATTTTCTATCTTCGTTCTTTCTGTCTCTTTCTCTTTTTTGTCTCAATCTTTCTTTGTGTCTGTATTCTTCTGTCTCTCATTTTTCTTTGCCTGTCTGTCTTTGTTTGTTTGTTTGATTGTTTCTCTTTATTTTTCTCTTTATGTCTGTCAGTCTGGTCTGTCTGTATGTCTGTATCTCTGCCTGTCTTTCTGTCTGTCTGTCTGTCTGTATGTCTGTCTGTCTGTCTGTCTGTCTGTATGTCTATATCTCTGCCTGTCTGTCTGTCTGTCTGTCTTTCTGTCTGTTTATCTGTATATCTGTATCTCTGTCTATCTGTATTTGTGTCTGTATGTCTGTATCTCTGTCTGTCTGTCTGTCTATCTGTCTGTCTGTCTCTCATCAACCACTATTACTGCTTCAATATCTCGCTCTACCACAACTGGGAATTACGGGCAGCGCGGATACAGCACACTGAACCTTCGGAACACAAGGAGGGCCGACTGGTTGACGCTGCATTCGGTTACTATCACTTCCTCGACTATAAAGATTGGTACCTATTAACAGCTGGGTGGACTGGGGGCGCCCTGGAAGCCAACCAACAAACCTTAGAACGAGAGGCGAGTTCTGCAAATCTATATACTCATACATACATACATACATACATACATACATACATACATACATACATACATACATACATACCGACACAAAATAACATGAACAAATCAACTAATCTTAAAATAGAATGATAGATTATGTAGTTCTATTAATAAAATGAAAGAATGAAAAGTGTAGACGGATCGTGGGAAGGAAATCAGAGCAGAGATGAAGAGGTTCTTAGGGACGAGCGAGTAACCAAGATTTTATTATTCAAGTGAGAAATCTTTTTATCCAGTCTTCCTTCCCCTTAATGTGAGTAAACACGGAAGACTATTAATCTTACCCTCTTACCTGCCTGAGCACGTGATCCATTACACACACACACACACACACACACACACACACACACACACACACACACCTAATAACACCTGTCCATCACCTGTTTGCGAGGACTTAATCACGTTTTCGTATCTACTGAAGCAGGTGATCAGGTATATACGCTTATAACTCACCTCTAATTAGCGTCTGTTGGCACCTGTCCACCCACCACCCTGGGAGTAAGAGGTTAGTCTTATCCTCTCACCTCAGCACCTGTGGTACACACCTGTGCAGACCTTCCATGTTGGACGTCTGATCACACCTGTCCACCCTGGTAGTAAGATTTATCCTTTTACCTTAGCACAAATCACACCTGTAATCACCTTTCTGCTAATCAATATTAAATTACTTGTACTCTCTTGCCGGTGTAACTATGACACACACCTTAACTCAGTCTTCACCCTGCACATCTGTTGACAGCTGTCCACTACCTGGCTATTATTCAATAAATCTCGTCCTCCATGACACGCACCTGTGCTCACCATCAACGCTGCACATCTGTCGACTCCTTGTTGGTAAAAAAAAAATCAAATTTATCCTCTTCTCTCAACTCACAAGACACCTGTACTCACCTTCCACACTGCACACCTGTTGACACGTGTCCACTAACCTCCCGAGTAAAAGAGAAAAGAAAGAAAAAATAATATCTTGCTTATTGTCGATGAATTAATGGCATCTGTTGGTGTTATTGGAGCAGCGCCATCCATCAGCGCCATTGATCACGAGGTGGGGGAGGGGATTGGTGCTGTCACTTCTGTATTATTCAGTCGTCGTGTCGTGGTTCAACAAGGTGAATGAATGGCGCAGCGACATATCGTTTGGGAGGAGGGGCGGAGGGGGGGGGGTGATTGTTTAGGTGGCAGTAGTTTGTTTACGTAAGTGTCTTGAAGGGGGTGGTTACGTGTGTGTAGTTTATTATACTTATAGGATTATTTGTGTTAAAAAAGAAATATATTGTCCACAAAGGAATTTATCTACAAAGTTACTTGATTGTCCAGGGATTTGTCCAGCACCAACGGAAACTCATATTTTGTCCGACTGCATCTATAACTCGTATTTTGTCCAATTGAAACGATCACTCAAGCTTGTCTACTATTACTGTCTGTAGTTAATATTGTCCAGTGGTGATAATTGGCCAGGTGAACGGTTTACTCTCTCTCTTCACCCATTTAACTGTTAACTAATTCCCCCATCCTCCTCCTCCTCTTCCTCTTCTTGTTTATCATCATCTCCCTCTCCTCTTCACCCACCTTACCTGAAGCCTAATTAACTCACCTGTATCGCAACACCTGTGAAGACGACCAGAATTAATAAGAGTTAATTAATGAGGCGAGTCGTAGGAGAGCATGGAAGGTCCATTTGTAGATCCTGCTGATAGGGCGAAGGATTCCGGCCTGGAGGTCCTTCAAGATAGGATAACAGGAGAAGGCTGTTTAAATATCCTTAGTGGAGAGAGAGAGAGAGAGAGAGAGAGAGAGAGAGAGAGAGACTTCGAAGTTGAGAGTGTGAACAAGTGTCTGTCTGTCTGTCTGTCTGTCTGTCTGTTTTCTTTTTATTCTCAACCTTCAATTATTTATTCCATTTATTCGTGATGTATTGCATTACTACAACGTCAACTCATTTACATACACACAAACATCATACTTATCTCTACAATGTCTTTATTGAATGTGTGTGTGTGTGTGTGTGTGTGTGTGTGTGTGTGTGTGTGTGTTCGTAATTGTATGTTACTCGGGAAATCTATGTAATTGGGCCATTAAGTTAATTTAGTCTTGTTTAATCTCCCTCTTTCAGGAGATATTAATTATTGTACTAACTTCTCACTACTAACTGTTCAAGTGTGACTGTCAACTGCTAACTGGTCTTGTTACTTCTGCTTAGTAATTATTATATCAATTGTGATGGGAATGATAGTAGTTGTGATTTGAAATAACTATAACTACTACTACTACTACTACTACTACTACTACTACTACTACTACTACTACTACTACTACTACTACTTCTACTTTAACCGTAATACTACCCATTTAATTCTAGTGTAAGTAATAATAATAATAATAATAATAATAATAATAATAATAATAATAATAATAATAATAATACCAATAATACCAATAATAATAATAATAATAATAATAATAATAATAATAATAATAATAATAATAATAATAACCTTCCTCACATCTCACCTCACCTTGCAGGCTCTCAACGGGTTCCTGGTTATCCTGGCGTGTGAGGGTGAGGTGTTTTTCGCCACACACAACATCGAGTCCTACTTGGGCTTTCACCAGGTGAGTACAAGGTCCTTGATTACATTGTTCACGTGTAGGTACAGGTAAAGTAAACAAACGGAATGGAAATCAAACAATCTAACAAACAAACAGACAGAAGAATAGAGTTAAAACACACACTCACTCATACACTCACGCACTCACTCACTCACACACTCACTCACACACTCACTCACTCACTCACTCACTCACTCAAAGCAGAAAAGACAAACAGAACGAAGCAAACAAAACTCTTTCATCGTTCTTGCTCTTATTTTTATCATTTCAGTTCAAATTAGTAATCATAATTTGGCTTTAAACAATCTCTTTGATGTTGGGGGCAAGACAGTGATAACCAACACACCGGGGGTGGGGGGGGAGGGTGGATGGGGAGGGACGACAAAGCTCCTTTAAACCGGTCCCATTATGTCACAATTTTCTCTTTCGGACACTGTAGGGAGGGGGTAAGGGGAGGGGTAGAGTGAAGGAAGGAAGGAAGGAAGGAAGGAAGGAAATACAGTACGAGGGAGTGAAGTAGGGAGCGAAGAAGGAAGGAAGGAAGGAAGGAAATACTGTACGAGGGAGTGAGAGAAGAAGGGAGGGGGGAGGGTGGGACGGAGGGTAAAGGCTCCCTCCCTCCTTCCCTCCCTCAAGGTATAATAAACATTTCACTAACTCACTAAACAGCAGTAATTTCGGTAATCAAACAGAATAAAGAAACACATATTTATTTTTTTTCTCTCTATTTCTCTTGTTATTACTTTCTTCCATAATTTTCTTCCGTTTATTCTTTCATTCTCTTTTGTTTTATATTTTTTTTTATTCGCTTCATTTTCGTACTTTTGCTATATTTATTATTTTTGTTTTTCATTTCTATATTTTGGTCTCTCTCTCTCTCTCTCTCTCTCTCTCTCTCTCTCTCTCTCTCTCTCTCAGGTCGTTGCAGTTTGTGTATAGTTAGCGTTAAATGAGCTAATTAGGTCTTAACTAGCGACATTATGAGCTAAACAAGGCGAGAGATTAATATCATTATTTGTGTAACTATTAGTGTAATTACCATTTTCGTTATTAATGTAATTAGTAATGTAATTATTGATGTAATTATACCCTGGTTTAAGCGTAGTCGCTCGTGTTTGTGGAGGGGAGGGAGGGAGGGGGGGAGGGAGGAAGGGAGGGAGGGAGGGGTGGAAGGGAAGGAGGGAGGGGGTGGAAGCAGGGAGGAGGGGTGGAAGGGAGGGAGGGAGGGGTGGAAACGAGAGGGAGGTGAGGGAGGTGGAAGGGAGGAGGGAGGGGGTGGAAGGAGGGAGGGAGGGGGTGGAGGGAGGGAGGGAGGGGTGAGGAGGAGGCAGTGAGGGAGGAGGGGGGGTGGAAGGAGGGAGGTTGGTGGATGAAGGTAAGGAAGGGATGAGGGAGGGTAGATGTGGAGGGAAGTGTGGAGGGGTGAAGGATGGGAAAGTGTTGGTAGAGTGGTAAGGAAGGGAGGGGTAGGGAGGGAAGAGAGGAGGGATAAGGGGAGGGCGGTAGAAGGGGGAGGGGGAAGGAGTAAAAGGAAAGGCAAATTGTAAGGAAGGGAAAGAAGGAGGGAAGGAAGGAAGGGAAGGAAGGAGGGAAGGAAGGAAGGGAAGGAAGGAAGAGTATAAAAGAAAACAGAAATACCTTAATAATAATGTTGACGCAATGTTTCATATGAGGGTAATTGTAAACACACACACACACACACACACACACACACACACACACACACACACACACACACATACACACACACACACACACCATAAATATACACATTAAGTAAAACAAAACTATTTATTAGACAGAGTTCTCTCTTTGTTCTTCTTGTTCCTTTGTTCGTTAAACTGTGTCTACATAACTCACCTCTCAGTAGAACCTAACCTAACCTAACCTAACCCAACCTAACCAACTAACAACCTACGTGAGAGACTTTTCCTCCTCCTCCCTGCACCCCCCAACCTACATACAGACACCTACATGTGTACATATTGATTATACCACGTGTGTGTGTGTGTGTGTGTGTGTGTGTGTGTGTGTGTGTGTGTGTGTGTGTGTGTGTTGGCTGTTGTACCTGAACGAATAAACAATTGTGGTATTAATATTCTTATACTTACCTCATGTTGTAACACCCTGCACTGTTAACCGTCTTTAATGTACAATGTATACCAGAACAGTTTAAAAGGTAATAATAATAATGATGATGATGATGATGATGATAATAATCTCTTTATCAGCATCATTCAAACTCTTTAAAATCAAACAATCGAATTAAAAGAGGATTCGAACCCTTGTTTAGATATGCAAATCTGCCAAACACATTATCCACCTCCCCCAAACAAAACACTAAATCCATTGACCAACAACATTCAAACTCTCTAACAAAAATAGCCATGAGAATATAAAAGGATTGGAACCCCTTTTTTGAATATGCAAATGACTTTAAAACACAACACAAGACTCGGGCCAGGCAAGACACACAGCCTCCATTAAGAAGGCCATTACTTCTCCGAGTCCATCACTGATCCACCAATAGCAGCACGGCTAACAGGGTCGTTAACCAGGCCATTACACCCCAGGCTCCTCGTTAATGCCCGCTACAGCCCCCTCGTTCGGACACACGCCCCTCGTAGTAAAATTTTTAAAGCGCATTTCTAAAAATTATGATGCTCGGTCAATGGGCAGTTTTACAACGGCTTCGTATAAGTGTAAACTATTTTATATCGACGGGAATAAATTAAATTTTTAATACTTATACCTGTATATTATTATTTTCTTATATAGTGTTTCAGTTTATATTTTTTTATGTCTATTATATCTTTCATGTTTAAGATAAAGTCGTTGTTTATGTTAGTTAAGTTTATAAATATTTTTTCAGACTCCATTTTTTTTCTTCATATTTTAGATTAATTCAAAATTTTCTGTATTTGTCAAAGTTCCTATTTATTTATTTTGTATTATTTCACTATTATTATTATTTCTTCAAAGAGTTCCACATTTATCTACATTTCCCTTAATTATGTTATATTTTCTACCCATTAAACAACATTCAATACCAATTATAACTTTAATTTTAAATAATAATAATCTTTACTTTCATCTAAACACAAATTAAGTCAAATTATTTCATTCATATTAATAATTTCTATATCAACTTCCTTATCTTAATATCTTAAAAGAATTCTAGTTATGATAATATATATTTAATTATAATATTTACTTTCTTATTATTGTTAAAAAGATTCATGTTTTTTTATCTCGTCTTGTCTCGTCTTGTCTCGTCTTATCTCGTCTTGTCTCGTCTTGTCTCGTCTTGTCTCGTCTTGTCTCGTCTTGTCTCGTCTTGTCTCGTCTTGTCTCGTCTTGTCTCCATCTTATCCTGGCAAAGCAACGTGTTTTTTTTTGAAGCCTCGGTGCGTGTAGAGTTTTATCCTGGATGATAACACAACTACAAATAATAAAAACACAGACAAACACACAAACACACACAAACACACACAAACACACACAAACACACACAAACACACACAAACACAGGGTACTTAGGGTTTTATGCACGTTAACTGGCAAAATACAAACATACGGGGGAGACACTCAAAAGCACACACACACACACACACACACACACACACATAAACACAAACACGACAAAAAAAAACACTGAACAACAAACAAACACAAACAAACACACAGAAACACAAATAACCCTTCTACCATCTCTCATCCACTCCCATCCTTGGACCCAAACAGCTCCTTCCCCACTCTCCTCCCACCCCCCACCCCTACCCCTCCCCACAATTTAAACACGAAAAATGATAAAAAAAATAAACACACCTTAATTCAGGTAAATAAACACATGCAAATGAACCAGCACAAAGGGGGTCAGTAAATATAAAACATAAACCCCCCATCCCCCCCTACCCAACCCACCACCCACCCACACACCCACACACCCCACCCACACACCCACACCCCCACCCACCAGAAAAACTAGATTTACATGCAATTACTTAATATGAAGATGGGCACGTAGTTAGACCAGAGACGAAAGAATATTATGTAGTTTAGCGGAAATGGTCACTATAGGCGGAAATGAGAGCAAATTGGTCATAATATTAGAGAGAGAGAGAGAGAGAGAGAGAGAGAGAGAGAGAGAGAGAGAGAGAGTATAATATCTTGAAGTATATTAGAGTTATCGTGGCTATAATATCTTTAGGGTATACTACTTTGAAATATATCATCAGTGTGGGTATCTTGAGGGCATAATATGGCAGGGTACAATATGGCAACATACCCCATGATAATAGTGTAATGTAACATATTCAACTGTAAAGGCAAAAATAACTAAGCTGTCTATCACTTGACATGGCATACTGACCTTTCTCTCTCTTATCTCGTCGTCTCTCTCTCTCTCTCTCTCTCTTCTTCCTCATCACCATCCCCCTCCATCTCCTCCTCCTCTTCTCATCCTGCAGAGGCCCCCACCATCCCACTCAATTCATCATCTTCCTCCTCCTCCTCCTCCTCCTCCTCCTCCTCCTCCACCTCCTCTCTCCTCCACCTTCCTTCTCCTCCTCCTCCTCCAACATCCTTCACTCCCTCCCCTCCCCCCTCCTCCCTCACCCCTCCTTCACCTCCCCTCCTCCCTCCCCTCCTTCACTCCCTCCTCCTCACCCTCCTCCTCATCCCTCCCCTCCCCCTCCTTCCTCCCCTCCCCCTCCCCCTCCACCCTCCTTCCTCCCTCCCTCCCCTCCCTCCCCCCTACCCCTCCCTTCCCTCCCCTCCCCTCACCCCTCCACCCTCCTTCCTCCCTCCTCCTCTCCCCTCCCCCCTCACCCCTCTTCACCCCCTCTCCCCACCCTCCCCCCTCTACCCCTCCTTCCCCCTCCCTCCTCCACCCCTCCCCTCCCACCTCATGCTCCTCCTCCTCCTGCGCGTCACAATAAGGCCCCAGCATCCATCTTAGACAGATAAGCATCATCTTGCATGCCACAGTACACGACGAAGCCAGTTTCTCGAA